AGGAAGGGTTTGGAACAAGACCATAGCCGACGTTCTGAAGAATCTAGGGTACGAAGCAACGGAAGCCGACAGCTGTCTATTCGTAAAGACCGGTCGTGAGTTGTCCTTCATCCGACTGTATGTGGATGATATGTTGATCGTCACCGACGGCGTCTAGGAGGACGAACGAGTACGGAAGCACCTGGAGCAGAAATTCAAGATTTCGTGTCTGGGTGATGTAAGCAACTACCTTGGGATTCATGTTAAACGTGATGCTGATGGAAGTTTCCTATTGTGTCAAGACACGTACATTTCGACGATGCTGACCACGTTTGGGATGGAACAAGCAAAATCGTCACCGATTCCGATGGACCCCGGATTCATCACCATAGAGCAAAAGGAGGAGGAAATGTTAACCATCGACAAATACCAGAGCCTTGTGGGAGCTTTGCTCTACGTTGCTGTTTGCACACGGCCCGATTTAGCGATCGCGGCGTCCATCCTTGGGCGCAAAGTCAGCAAACAAACGGAACGTGACTGGACGGAAGCGAAACGAGCCCTGCGGTATTTGAAGGGTACTGCTGGACTAAAACTGCGACTGGGAGGAAGAGGCAATCTTGAAGGATACGCTGACGCTGACTGGGCGGGCGACCATACGGATAGAAAGTCCAATTCTGGATTTCTGTTCAAGCTTGGTGGAGGAGTAATTAGCTGGAAAGCTCGTGACCTTGTCTTCAACCGAAGCGGAATATGTCGCACTTGCGGAGGCCACCAAAGAGCTTCTCTGGTTGCTCAAGTTAATGCGAGGACTAGGCGAGGATATTCAGCAACCCGTGACCGTCTACGAAGACAACCAAAGCTGTATCAGTATGCTGAGTGCCGAAGGAGTGACGAAACGAACAAAGCACATCGATACCAGGTATAACTTTGTCCGGGATTTGTACGGATCAGGAGTCCTCAACATCTTGTACTGTCCATCAGAGGAGATGTTAGCGGATGCGCTGACAAAACCACTAGGCCGAATTAAGCTGCAGAAGATACGGGAGGAGATTGGCTTGCAGAATATCGTTCTTGAGAAGAAGTGTTGAAGTTGAAACATTATTATTATAAATTTGTATTCTCTCAGAAAATAAATGTTAGTTACTGTTAGACCACCAACCAAGCAGGTTGTACTTCTCTTTAACCTCCAAGAAAAAAATGTTCCAACCCGATAAAGAACAAGCCATCATAGGAGGGGATGTCCCAATGAGTGGGGAGAAGAGCCCACCTTCAATTCACGAAATGTTAACAACCAAGGAGTTGGCAGTTCCACTCTCCCCATCAAAATTACTTCAAGCAGGCGCCCTGACGGTCCCATCCCTATCCAAGGAATTTACATGTTTATATGAAAATATGTAGAATATAAGAATATAATCGAAGACAACATATCAAGAAGACTGACCACTCTTCCATTTTCTAATAAAACCGTTCGAGACAGGCACAATCACTTCATCTGCCGCTCAAAGGTAAATGCTTTGAACGAATTTGATAGCTAAGATTACAACCTCAGAAGAAAGGTTTGTGTATTTGCTCGTATTTCATGCGCTGTGTTTGTGCAACGTCATCTACACGTACAACTACCCTACCCGCTGTATTTTTTTAACGATCCTGCGCACCTCCAGGGGTGCAAAGGGCCTTTGTGAAAGATTTCCATCCTGGGCGATTACTAGCTTTGGCGTTGACCTGTGCTTAAGTCAAATTTCGGTCAACATTCTTAATTTTACTGTTTAGGCTCCACCGCCACGAGCCTCTGGGTCTGCCTCTGCTGCGTTGTCCTGCTGGATTCCAGTCCAGTGCTTGCTTGCAGATTTCGTTTCCGCTCCGTCGTAGTGTGTGGCCGACCCACCTCCACTTCCGTTCACGAATTTCTGTTTCTATCGGCTTCTGATGGCACAAACGATGAAGCTCGGAATTTGAGATCCAATTGTGGGGCCACCAGGCACGAATTATGTACCGCAGGCATCGGTTGATAAACACCTGCAGCTTCTGAGTGTTCTCCGCTCACCATGATACACACCATGTTTCACTGGCGTATAACAGCACAGACTTCACGTTCGAGTTAAAAATTTGGATTTTGGTGCGTCGACTGATCTGATTCGCTCTCCATACATTTCGCAAACTGGCAAAAGCAGCCCTCGCCTTCTTAATCCGTGCACCTATGTCGCTCTTGGTGGCGCCGTCCGACGCTATCTGGCTGCCAAGATACCGTGAAATTGGAACGGTTTTCCGTGTTGACATCCAACGATTTGGTCTTTTTGACGTTGATGGTTAGACTTGCTTGAGAGAAGCGTTCCACAAGGTCGTCGAGCTTACTCTGCATGTCAGAGCGTCGTTGTGCTAATAACGCGACATCATCAGCCAAATTGAAGTCGTTGAGATGCTCCATGGTAATAGGGTGCCACAGCAACCCACGGTTCCAACCATGATCTCGTCGATTACGATGAGGAACAGTAGTGGGGATAATATACATCCTTGCCTCACACCCGCGATTACCCGAATCGGGTCAGACAAAGCTCCGTTGTGCAACACTCTGCATGAGAAAGCCTCGTACTGCGCTTCGATGAGGTTGACTATCTTATCAGGGACTCCCTTGCGTCTCAGAGCACCCCACAAGTTTTCGTGGTTTAGTCGGTCGCAAGCTTTTTCGTAGTCAATGAATACCAAGTACAAAGACTCTTGGAACTCATTGACCTGCTCCAAGATGATGCGGAGCGTGACAATATGGTCCACACAGGATCTTTCAGCACGGAATCCTGCCTGCTGTCGTCGGAGAGTCGCATCGATCTTCACCTGTATCCGATTGAGGATAACTTTACACAGAACTTTGAGAACAATACCTACACAGTAACATGACGCCTCACCAGTTGTCGCATACAGTTGGATCTCCCTTCTTGGGGACTTTTACGATATTACGATATTGACGAATAGTTGATGCAACATTTGTGCGGATAGCATGGGGTCAGCTTTGAGCATCTCTGCTGATATGCGATCGACCCCCGGGGCTTTGTTGGACTTCATTCTTCGGATGGCTGCTTCTATCTTCTGCAATGATGGAGCTTCAGTGTTGACGCGAGTAACACGCCTCACCCTTGGCGGATCATGCCGAGATGTTGATGGTTGGTTGACCGTTGAAACTTCGAGAAGTTGTTCAAAGTGCTCAAACCAACGTTTCAACTGGTCAGTGGGGTAGTTCCAGTCGCGTCTTTCACAGGCATCCTTGGGTTCATCCTTGCCCCGCTCAGGCGTCGTGAAACATCATAGAGGAGGTGGATATCGCCAGTTGCTGCGGCTTCTCCCCTTCATTAGCCAGGGAGTCCACCCACGCTCGCTTGTCCCGTATACAGGAACGCTTAACTTCCCTCTCTAGAGCCGAATACTGCTGACGGGCCTCGTTCTTGGCTCTTCGGGTCCTTGTTCGCTCTATCGCGGCTTTTGTTTCTCTCCGCTCCTCGATCTTCCTCCAGGTTTCATCGGTGATCCACTCCTTCCTCTGAGTCAGAAATTTTAATTTTTTTGAATAATTTAGATTTTTTTTGACATAGGACTACGCCTTTGATTTCTATATGGGGGTACACTTTGTGAAAACTGAAAATGGAACATGTAACAAATTATGAAAGATTTTGAACATTAATAACTCAGCTGCCCCCGAACCAATTTCAATATTTTTATCACCAATCGATCAGGGCAACGCATACGCATCGATATCAATCCTTTCGACTGTTTATGTTCAACAAGAAACTATTGAAAAAGTAGTAAATGTCAAGCATTGTTCAAAAGCGTCAAAATAATTAACAAATCCACCAATTACGTACATGCATATGCTGCTTCCCCAGCACAGTCGTCAGAGAGTAGTAAGTAGACGAAACATGTCGATATAGCATTACGACGAGGTTCTGTAGTTCAGTGGTTACCGTTTCTGCTTACTGAGCAGAAGGTAGGGAGTTCAATCCCCTACCCCCCCCCCCCTTGCAATTTTTCACTTTGCCTTATTCTATCCCCACTAGATTTAAATAAAGAACAAATTCTGCTTTAACCGATCGCATCACTTACAACAGTGAATCCTAATCTAAAAATAACCTACCTCACTTACACTACTATCCTTCCCGAGATTGCCGTGGAGATGTAGAGGTATTCTCGGTCTCTAGTAACAACCGGTCGTCGAACTAATCATCCTTCCCTCCCCAAAAGACCGGGAGGACGTGGCCGGCGCTGTGAATTGATCTATAGAATGAATTAATGTGCTTGTACATTGAAGATGGAAAGCTTATCCCATGCACCCATCTATGTAGTTCTCTGTGCAAGTGAATTAGTTCTGATCATTCACGGAGGAGCAACTACGAAGTGCACGGTCAGATAACGTTAACTCGACGGCAAACACATTCATTGATACGTTTATTGTTGTGGATGATAGAAGAGCATAGTAGAAATAGTGCGAAATAGGAAGCTATGGTCATCACAAAAGAGGAAATCGAAAAAGCGAATTGGCTTTCACCCTTCTGCTTCTAAGCCCCTTACAGTCTACGTCATAGCATCGCATCGCTTTTGGTTCTAGGGCACTTGCTGGTTGCAATTTTTAGATCAAGATTCACTGTGATGCGATCAGTTGTAAGCAGCAGAAATTTCCTTCCCAACTCTCTTGTGGAATCTTTTAGTGGCTCTGAAAAGGGCCGGTTTTGATAGATTTCTACGGAAAAACTAAGAGCGTTCACCACAAATACGAAGGGCCAGCTGAATGTCCTTTGGCATAATTGAGACATGCTTCGCGTGAATGGCGAACAGACCGACCAGATAGGTCGGTGTATTTCCCTCATCTAGGGGATAATTATACCTGCGTCGAGTAGCATATTATTAATACAGGGAGGGTACAATACATACAGTGGGAAGCAAAATACTGAAAAGGGGAGGAGTTTCGCTTCTTATGCCACGGGCACAAAACGAGACACCACCGTCGAATATTCTCTACCGAAGCGAACAGCTAAACTATGGCACCGAAAACCAGTGGAAAGGCCGCCAAAAAGTCCGGAAAGGCGCAGAAAGTCATCGTCAAGGGAGAAAAGAAGAAGAGGAGACAGCGCAGGAAAGAAAGCTATACCATCTACATCTACAAGGTGTTGAAGCAGGTCCACCCGGACACCGGAGTCTCGTCGAAGGCCATGAGCATCATGAACAGCTTCGTCAATGACATCTTCCAACGTATTGCTGCTGAGTCGTCCCGTCTGGCTCAATACAACAAACGCCCGACGATCACCTCCCGCGAAATCCAAACTGCTGTCCGTCTGCTGCTGCCAAGCACGCTGTCTCTGAAGGAACCAAGGCCGTCACCAAGTACACTAGCTCCAAGTAAATTCGTACCATCCAAACAATCAATCGGCCCTTTTCAGGGCCACAAATCGATTTCCAACGTGAAAGAGGTTTTGATGATTTATTGCACTTTTAAATGTTCGAAAGCAGCGTTAGCAAAGTTCGCGATAAGAAATCAGTTGATTTGCCTTATGAAAATAATGTTGACAAAAAGAATAAGAGGTTGCATCCATGACACGACCGTACGGTTTTGACGTAGGACGTCTGTGATTTCTACATGGGGGTACACATTGTGAAAACCGAATATGGAACATGAATTAATTGTGACACGCTTGGCATGGATGGCGAACAGACGGACCAGATAGGCCTCGCTGAATTCCTGTAGGGCCATTAACGGCCGAGCTCTGGAAGCGCAGATCGGTCTTGAAGTCCTGGGCGATTCCACGGACCAGACGTTTGAAAGGCAACTTGCAGTCAGCAGCTCGGTCGATTTCTGGTAACGATGGATCTCACGCAGAGCGACATTTCCTGGCCGGTAGCGATGAGACTTCTTCACTCCTCCATCTGTTTGAGAGGAGCCTTTCCTCCGGTGGACTTACGAGCGGTCTGCTTGGTGCGGCCATTATACGATGTGGATACGTTGAACGCAATCTGTTGAATAAAAATTTTAATTACCCAGCACAATCATGGGCATTGGTTCCAAGCAATATTTCATCAGATTCAAAAAAAATCTGTGTGATAGTAAATAGAACAGAAAATGAAAATATAAAAATGAGGTAAGGAAAATAATTAAAATATGGTTCAGATTAATACCTGGCTGAATAAAGATACACATTACCATTTATTATATAAGACCACGTAGTCCTACGTCACCATCGCGTACAATAATAAAACATTTTTTTCAGTGTATGTTTTTCCTTGAAAGGCACACTTGTCCGCAACTTCGCCGAAGACACCATCTCGATCAAACAAATCGTTCGCGAGATAAATGTTTTTCTCTTGATGTGTATCATTTTTGCATAAGCCCTTTTCAAGTGTTAGTCGTGTACAAAACTAGGGAACCAAATATGTAAAATGGCATGTTGCACAATAAAAAAAAACAACTGAGCAAAGTTGCAACATAATCGTAGAAGGCCGATCAGAAATTTTTTTAAAAATTCTTCATTTGAAATGGAACTGCTGACCTGGGTTGCTTCTGATGGACCTCACGACCTGGAGCTGAAGGTTGGCAGCGTTTACTTTGAGACTTCCGATTCGTCGTCAAGGTTTTGTTGTACGTTTTGAGCACGCGCCATACGGTATTTCTAGGAAGGTTGTTGTCAACAAATAGACGTCAAAAACTTCCGAAAATGTCCATTAGGAGCGCTGTAATAGGCAAAAGAGTTTGTTCCATTACTAAGTGGGCCATGGTTTAGATTGATTATTCCCAGATAAACATTATTTTTTCTCTTAAACTTTGTTTCATTTAGAGCAGAAGTACCGCTTCCGTTTTACAAGTTACAATAATAACCGTATTTTAACAAAAATGTTAATCATTGCCTATAACTAACAATTATGTAAAGTTTCATAAAGTTTTCCCAATTCGTCATTTAGCGTGGAGCTGCTCTATATTAAAATGAAGAGGCTAAAAAGCAAGTTGTAACTTAGGGCAATGTATTTTTTTTTAATTTTTTACTTTTTTTGAAGAATTTAGACGGGATTGGCTAAACAATTTGGAATTTAAAAGATGGTCTGAAATAATTAACTCCTCCCAATTTGGTCCAAATCGGACCACGTCATTTTCACTTTTATAATCTTTCTCGGTCACTTGGGGTGGAATGACCTATATGCATCCGGATAGTAAAAGACCAATTGCTACTCTTTCATTTCTTTGTTTTGCCCCCCGTGCTTCAAAACCTTGCCACGCCTTTGCTAACCCCAATATTCCCGCAATGTTAGCATAGCTTTAAAATATAAATGTGTGCATTAAAGTTAATGGGATTTGATTTTCACATCTGATAAAACGTCCATTGGAGCCAACAGAGGATGCCGACCAGGTGCTAATTGCTACTAAACGACATTTTACACCCTGTTAGTATGTCTGATACAGGTGCCGCAATGGTTTCAAATGTGATTCCAAAATAGACAACTGCTAATATTTGAACACTCCAGTAAGTTATTCTTAGCATCGAAAGTATGGAATTTTCTATCTCTCGGTCGATCATGGAGGAACAAAGTAGTTGTTACGCTAGGAAGTTAACAAACAACTTGAGAGCTTAAGCTTGAATCGGACAACGAAATCTCATACAATCATTAGTTGAGACCATGCGCAAACAGATCTGATTACTTTTGTTTACATCTTACATCATTTCCTCCCGTGGCTCTTATCGTCGCCGTCGTTGTCGTAAGGCAACTGACTCAAGTGACTTTACAACGTCAAACGATATCGTCGCAGAGAGTCGCGTGCTGATATGTTCGAGATTTTCCCACCGTGATAAACGCCAACCTTCAATCAATCTCAGATTGTCATCTATAAGGCGGAAATGAAAGCTTGTGTTGTCCCGGGTAAGAAGTTACTTTGTTTTGACCAGTGCTGATTTTTGTGATGGAAGATGTCTTTTATTCTTTCATAATAATTCATGCAGTTGATGATGTACGTACATGTTCACTTTGACGGTTCGGTGGATTTAATTTACTTAATTAATTTTTGTTTGTTAGCAGTTGGCTGAAAACAAATGATGATCATTTCAATTTCGTGATAGTGACGAAAGCTGTTTTGCCAATATCGTCGAGAACGGTCGAGATTTTCCAGCACTGATTTTGGCTACTGCAACAACTCCAAATCTGCTAGATTGCTCCATATGCATTTATGGTAAAATGCATACAAACAATACAAAATGCTTCGCTTTATAACAGAGCTGAACATTTGATTAATTTTATTATTATCATAAGATTACCATCTGAAAAGGGGATATGAGGATCCGACTCAAAAAAAAATTCCATTAAAATTTGCATTCGGGCATCTACTTCCACTATCGTCAACAAGCGTGCCAAGCGCAAAATGATCTTTGTTCCAAGGTAGCAAATTCCCTCTAATTGTTATCAACAGCTTTGAATGTCGGTTCAGCAACTACTGCCTATTTAGTAGTAGTTCATCGCAAAACAACAAGGAACTGGTATAATTGAAATTCATTTGCACTCAGATAGATCGATCGGTTGTTTGGAGCGCAGTTATTGATTTGCATGACGTAAAACCATTTCCATAGCGTTGCATCGCATATCATCAGGTCGGGTTCTTACGAACTCACCCAAGCAAGTCAATGTTGTGAGAGCAAATCTCAACCGGTCCATCGGTCGACCGGCCGGTTGATGTTGCCGCCTTACCTCGCCCCTCTCAGTGTATGAGTTGTGTTTACCCTGTAGGCACTCAGGCTGTCAGCAGTAGCACCACTTGAGCACTTACTATCAATTACACTTTTCTATTATTCACACACCCATCCCTATTCCGTCTGATGGACGACGATCGCAGTCTGTCTGTCCCTGTTGGAAGAACAGATGCTGACGAAACTACCCGGCTCAGTGCACAGCGTCTTCGGTGTAGGTTATATTTTATTATTGTCATCCTACTGCTAGTGCGATAACAGCTTCGGTAAATCACTTTTAGTTCGCACCAAGATGCGAAGCAGATGATAGAATTCATAGTGACAAGGGAAAGTTCGTCGCGGTTCGAGTATAACCAAATGTTGCTCGCGAAATGCCACATGTCAGACTCCCGCACTCGGTCACGTTTCCCAAATTCAATTGAGTCACTTCAGCCAACAGAATGATACTTAAAAGAGCATCGCATACATAGTAAGCGATGTAGTCATGGTTATCAAATGATTCAACACTTAATATTGGGTACTTTACTGATTTGAGTGGGACAGGGACAATTGGCACTCATCAAGATGAGTGCTATGTATTTTTTTTTTTCAATGAAATTATGAATCTAATTTATGGAAGAAAATCCCATCCAGTTTAGGCCAACAGCAACTTCAAAACTGTTATCAATTTTGGAACGTTCTCACCAGTGTGAAAGCAGCTGGCAGGCGAACATCAACATTTGGTTTTAATTCCAACATCATGCTCCAGTGATGCTGTTCTCGATACATGCTACTCGACAACGTTACAAAGTTGCAACTTTTCAAAAACAAGCAAATCCTCCCAGCAGCCGGAGAAAACTAGCAGCATTTGTATCCTTCCGGCCGTTTGCGAGAGGATAGCTCATGTAGTACACGTTTGCTGTTTCTTCATTCAATCATCTGCTTCCTCCCATCCCATTCGGCGTCTGGCTTTGGGAGTTTAGAGCGGATTGCAGTTCCGCAAGATGACATCATTTATTCAGAGTGTGGGTGCCGGGTTTAAAGTCTGTGCAACTGAATGGGTGGAACTTGACTCACTTTCACAATCCTGCCAAGCTCCGAACGGTGTCCTTTGACATTGTGACTGCTAACCTGAAGGCAAGGAAAGTGGTCCATTGTGTTGTCGACTAATGCAATCTACATTGTTGAGCTTAACGCGTGCAACACCGGGGATCTAAGATGGCAGCAAGAAAATGAGCTCTCTTAAAACGCGTTCGTATGGATTAATGTACATGGTCCTTATTAAGATGGCAGCATCGTTTCATAGCTCGTTGACATGAACCGTGCAGTGGCATGGCAACTTGTAATAAAATAGAATGACAGCAATGTAGGAAAAGTACATGGCTTGTAGTAAAGTAGTAGTAAAAACAAGGATGATTATCACATTGCATAGATATATTTAGTAGGAAAGGGAATGAAATTCAAGATCACCATTTCACCATTCAATGTTTCATTAACTCCATCGATAGTATCGATAGTAAAATGATTTTTTGATAGTACCCGATATTTGTTCTCTCCAAAATTGAGAGACCCTTCCAGATGCGTCAACTTCAAGACATTATTGGGGGGTAATATATGTTAGTCATGGCGAAACAAAGGCGAAAAGTGCACCTGACATCACTAATCATTATGTTTCTGAATTATGACAGGCTAGTGGTTTCCAACTAAGGCTCGATTTGGGCGTCTTAGTGGAATACCTGTAAAATGAAAGAGAGAAGGGTTAGTAATTTCCATTTAATTCCAAGCGTCCTGTATGTCTGATCGCGATTTGAGTAAAAAGTATGAAGACTTACAGGCATATCGTGCCAGTAGGGAACCAAATCGATCACTCAAGCTAAATACCCTAGCTTGTAACCGTTCTGTTACAAAGGTTCAATACAATATTTTAAATATGCACCATGTGATCGAGCATTCAAATAAACTTTGTTTAACACTTGCCGTGAAACCCACTGGGCA